CAGTGCTTACCTGGGCCTGGAGGGGAAGGTAGATTTGGGTTTTTGTTTAATGGACAGAACTTGAGTTTTGAAAAACGAAGAAAATTCTGGAGACAGGTGGTAGTAATAGCTGCACAGTAATGTGAATGTATCTATAGTGCACTGATTCATATATTTAAAAATGGTTAAACGGTGCATTTTATGTAATGGATATTTTAACAAAATTAATAAATAAAAATTTAAACTGGTTTAAAAGTGGTAATGTTACTTTGACCCAAAGTACCTTAATTAGGATATTTAAAGCCATTGCCTCTTAAAATATTAAACTGATCATTTCATACCTGAACCAATATTCTCTTCCAACATCACTACTAAGTCTCAATTCCTTGGCATGGGATACAGGAAAGACATTCCAGGTTCTTGACTTATCTTTATCTTCATGCTCACCACTCCCCAACGCTACTATACCTTCAATGAGGCCCTGGTTAATGTATAGATTTATTAGACTGAGCAGCTAGTAGAATGCTCACATTCGCCCTCTTACAGTACAGCTGTGGTACAAAAAGCCAGGTGTACACACCCTAAACAAAAGAGCCAAAATTAATACCAGAACATATATTTTGGGAAATAGTGCAAATCAGATGTTCAGAGAACTCACACTAAAAATGCTGGATTAAATATTTTAAATGTCTTTTATTAATGGCCAACCCAATATACAATAAAGAAATTCCACAGAACTCAGAAAGGACAAGGATCTACAAATCCACTGGGGTACGTGCAGGTACCAGAACTAACGTTTTCCCTGTGGCCACCGCTGATCTCTAATGGATAAAAGCCTGGGTTGTTATGATCCATATCCCAACATGGTTGGGATACAGGGAACAGGCACACAGCCTGGGGCCCAAACATGTTGGAAAGAAGGAAACATAAATCTTTGATAGAGACATACTCTAAAACAAAGCCTCAAGGAAAAAAAAAAGCCCCAAGAAATGAGGCTTCAGAATTTGAAAATACTATGCAAATGAAGGAACAAAAACCATAGCAAGAATTAGCATAATAAAAAACATTAGAATATTGGATCTGTAAAAACTGTGAGCATCAAGAAGAAAATATAAAGAAACATTTTTATTGCATAATATACATGAAGGAACAAAAGAATGAGACTATTAATAAGAACTAATGAGATTATAAAAAGAAAATAGAACTTTAAACTAGAAACAAAAAAAAAAAGGATTTAAATTAGAAAGAGCAAACAGGACATTTGTACAAAGAATGAGTAAACTGAAAGATATGAAAAATTATCCAGAGTTCAGCACAGGAATTAAAACCCTGGAACTATACACAGAGGTCAAGAACAAGCAAGGTCCTTCTTACATCTAGCCAGAGTTCCAGAAGGAGTTAGAAAGGGGAAGAGAATATTCAAAGGGATAATGATTGGATATGTTTCAGTACTGTATCAATAAAGACTAGAATTTTCAGATTCACAAAACAATACTTATCACCAAACTAAATAACAGGAAGACATGGCAGGATACATTAGAATCTAATTAGACAACAAACCTGAACAACACAAAAACAACCTGAGGATCAAATAGATAGAGACATGGAGCTTATAAAGGAATCAGAATTTAAAATAATGCAGACATTGCAAGAGTACCTTGTTATCATTACAGTAGTTTTGAGAGAAGTTTAACTATTCATTTTGAATTGTAAATTACAAGATAGCAATACTATCTTTTTATTCTTTTTTTTTTCCTGTCTTTTTGAGACAGGGTCTCACCATGTAGTTCAGGCTGGTCTTGAACTCATTTTGTAGCCCAAGCTGGGCTCGAACTTGCAACAATCCTCTTGCCTCAGCCTCCAAAATGCTGTGATTACAGGCGTGAGCCACCACACCTAATTCTAATACTACCTTTTTAATGAAATAAACATGTTCAGAAAAACAAACTGACAGTTTACTAACAAAGATTTTCAACAAGGCTTTTTAAAGAAGATACCCTCAAAAGAAGGAAAATAACCCAGAAGAAAGTTTGAGATATAAAAACAAATGTAAATTTCTTAAAATGATAAATAATTCCAAGCAAATATTAACGGCACAAAGCAAATTATAATATCTAATTTGTGGGGTTGCAAGAAATCAAGACAGAACTAAATCTACAGATACCAGCATAAAAATAGGGAAAAGGTAAATGGTTACAGGTTTTTGTCTAGACCCAGAGGAAAGTAATTCTAGACTTTCAATTTAATATGCACATGTCTTCGTCTATTCATGCTGCTATAGCAAAATACCATAAATTCGGTAGCTTATAGAAAATAGAAATTTATTTCTCCCAGTTGTGCAGGCCAGAAATCAAGGGTCCTGCAGACTAAGTATCTGGTGAAGGACCACCTTCAGGTACGTGCACCACCATCTTTTCTTGGTGATCTCACACGGCAGAAGGGGGAAGGGCCCTCTCTCTGGACTTGTTTATAAGGACACTATTCCCATTACTGAGGTCTCTGCCCTCATGTTGTAATCACTTCCCAAAAACACTGCCTCCTAACACCATCACCTTGGAGTTGAGGGTTTCAGCACATGACCTGGGAATGGAAAGGACACAAATATTCAGACCACAGTAGCATGCTATGAGTTGCAGAGTGGACCCGAGAAAACCACAAAAACAGAATTTGTAACACTCAAACTAATACAAAGAGGTAAAAATGGCATTATTGGGGAGAAAAAGTTAGTGCAAAAAAAGAAAAGGAGCCAGGCATGGTGGCGCACACCTGTAATCCTAGTACTCAGGAGGCTGAGTCAGGAGGATCGTTTCGAGTTCGAGACCAGCCTGGGCTACAAAGTGAGCTCAAGACCAGCCTAAAATGCACAGCGAGACCCTGTCTCAAAAAAAAAAAAAAAAAAAAAAGGAACAAAAAGTAAAGGATAAAACAGCTCTACATACAGAAAACGAATCCAGATATACCAGCAAGCAAATCAATACAAATGGGCAAACCCAACCTCCAGCTATGTGCACTATTTATAAGATACACACTTACAGCATAAGGACACAGAAAAGGTAAAGATGTCCAGCCAACACAGACAAGGGCCACTCAGTGTAAATATCAAGTAAGGTTTATCAGACAAAGCTAAAAATGAGCAGAGAAGCAGCAAAATCAACTCATGATGCAAAAAGGGGAAGGGTGTGTGGAAAGATTGGCCTAAAACTGAAAAACACAATTTGTTGCATTATTGCCCATGCTAAAATTCAAACCTTTCAAAAATAAGTAAGGAAAATAAAAATCAGCACGGAAAAAAGATAAATGGACAATAAATATCTGAAAACGTGTTCGATCTTATTAGTAATCAAGAAATATAAAGTCAGATCACAAGAAACCTTTTCATGAGCTCATGGGAGAAAAACTTCAAGGGCCACCAAGAATGTGTCTCAACCAAAACTGTGCTATACTCTTGATAAAAGGATAAAGTGATTCCAGCATTTGAGGAAATCATTTGCTTTTACTAACAAAGCTGGAGATTTGCACTCTGTGATATGCATTTGCACAAACATACCACGTAATAAAAACAAGAATATTCACAGGAGCTCTGTATGCAGTACAGAAGAACTGCAATCAAAAGGTTAGTCAATAATACAGAGAAAAAAAAATAAACTCCATAAGCATCAACACACGTAAATCTCAAAAACAAGCAAAAGAAACACGTCAGAAGATATGTATGATTCCATTTATATAAAGGTCGAAAGGGCTGGACATATAGCTCAAGGGCACAAGTACCTGCCTGGCAGGGGCAAGGTCCTGAGTTCGATTCCTGGTACCAAAAAAAAAAAGTATACAAATGTCAAAGATGCAAATACCATTTAGAAATACCTACATATGTGATACAACTATATAGAAATCTTAGGAAATTTAACACACATTGCAAGATAGTGTTGTTCAAGATAGACAGTAGTAGGGAGGGCTTAACTGGGGCATGCAAGTAACTGGTGAAATTCCATTTCTTAAGCTAAATAAGAGACTCACATGAAACCAATTAAATCCTCCCAAAATCATAAAATACCAGGTCCATATACTCTTCCCGGCTCACTATCCACTTCATAATAAATTTTAAGTGATTCAAAAAATGCAAGAGGGCTGTTTTAAAATTATCTTCTTGCTTCTAGTTAAAGAAAAAAGTCTGCTTAAAAGTGCTCTTGTAATAGTAATACAACAGTGGTGTTAGCATCTGGTACTTTAAAGACTACTCCCTTTTTAAAAAATTAACTCATATTAAAGATCATGCATACCTGTGCATGACCTTTGCACACCTATGTCCTTTCCAAACTAATAGAAGACTTTACTGACTTGTACCCTTAACAAATACCGCTTTCCTTTAAATGTACCCTAAGTGTTTAATGAAATCCTTTAACTTATTTTAGTGACAACAGAATTAAGACAAACATTAAATTGTTTCCAATTTCTACAGCACCGTTTGAAGATATTTTTATGTGCACTTATTCTGAACTCTCCCAGACAAGGTAGGTCCCCCCAATCCCAGCAAGGGACACCCCGAAAATCAATAGCCATTAGTTTTGCATTGCGCTGGGAGCAGTCCTCCGGGATCTTCTCAGCATGGATTGTATTTCAGACCTCCCTCGCCCTCGCCGCTTCTGAGTGAGGAGGGCGGGGGCGAGCAGTGGTGGAACTACTGCGGGGTCGAGGGATAAGCGTCCCTTAATGCTACGACCAAAAGCTGGAGTCAGTAGGGACCTTACATATCAATCCCTTGGGTGCGGATGGAGAAAGTCGCCGCAAGAAGCGCGTTTGCTCGGGTCTAACAGCTGGTGAAGCCTGTCGCCTCTGCCCAGGAGCCCTCTCCGGTCTCCGCTACCCACCCACAGATCCCTCTATTTCCTGCTAAGCCGGGGAGAGAGAACTGCAACTCCCTAGTCATCTGCTCAACCCCTCTTCTCCCAGGTGGGGAAACTGCGCTGCACAGTGATCAGCTGCGGGGAGGGGATAAAATCGGCCCTCTGCCACAGAGCTAAGACCTGAACAAAGTGAAGATCACCGGCGATCCCGCCTCCCGCGTTCAACAAGCTCAGTGTCAGACGCCCGAGCACAGGTTTCATTGAACGAGCATCCCGCACCGCCCACAGGACCCGGAAGCGAGTAGGCGGGGTAACTGTCAAAGCATGAACTGCATCGGCAGCTGGCTGCCAACTTCCGCCTCGCTCTCCGCACTCAGCCCGAGGGGAGAAGGGGAAACGGTAAGACTAGGAGGTCTCCCGCGAGAAGAGGTACCTGAGGATCGGGCCACAGTCCGTCGTCGAGCCCGCACCTCAGTCCGTCACCCCACTTCCGGAGGTTCCTGGCTGGCAGCAGCAGGCCCCGCCCCCTCCAAGTCCCGCCCCTATTGCCCCTTTAGCCAATGACTGGAGCCACTTCCGGAAAACCGCGCGTCACTCACAGCTGATCCCCTCTTCTGGACACAACTTCACCTTAGCGCAGCGCGGTCCGCAACTACGTGACGCAAATCGGGATTTCCGCTTATTTGATTGGCGGAGCCGGCGCGCTAGTTTTCGCTGATTGGTCCCGTGAAAATCTGTCCCATAGGCGCTAGCGGGGTTCTTTTTCCGTCGTCCGCGCCCTGTTTCCCGCCAGGCGGAGGCTTCATCATGGTGGACGTGGTGGAGTTGCCCAAGTCGCGCATCAACGCCAGCATGCTCTCTCAGTTCATTGACCGGCCGGTCTGCTTCGTAGGGAGGCTGGAAAAGGTGCGCGGGCTGGCGGGCTCGTGCTCCCCTTGTGCAGCTGGTGGGAGGGGCCCACTGACCGCCGGAAGAGCCGGCAGCGGGTAGCGGAGAGCGAGGGGCTGACGCCGCGGATCCTTACTGCGCTGCTGGTCGCGTTATTTTGCAGACTTTCCACACTTTTTAGTCTTTGTACGTCCATGCTGGCTGTTTTTGCGGCGCGGAAACGCGCTCTTCGAGTGTGTTCGCTTCTAAATACCAGCGCCCTTCTTGCCCGTTGTGTGGTCATTTATGTATCAGACTCGCACGTCTGGGTTTTGCTTCGCCGCCAACTGATGACATCTAGGCTAATGTGCTTATTTTCTTCATTTCTACCCTCGTCTCTGTCCCCAAACTTCATTTTCTCATTGAAGTCAGTTTTCCATCCTCGTCTCTCCCAGATCCCGTAGCCGCCTATTATCTTGCCCCAGCGTTAAAATGCAGACCCCTCATCCCACGTGTCTCAGAATCAGTAACCTGAGAAAGCCGAGGGAAAGAACATCAGTAAAGGTTTATTTAGTAGCTCACTTCATCCACACATTCTGTAAGTGCAGTGAGTGTTAATTGTGACTTCCCAGGTAGAGAAAATGAGCCGGTGTTTAACAGAAATGCTCAGGACCACAGCAGTTGGCAGGGCTGGCGTTCAAGGGAGATCTGACCTGACTGCAGCCTTTGCAGCTGCTTCCCGGGAGCGGAATCCAGCTCTTTGGCAACAGGTTTTCCTTTCACGCATCCGCGGGATGTGTATTATAACGAAATCTTGAGTGCCTGCAGATTCCATTTTTAGGTAGTACGTACTTCCTTTAATTTGTTTTTAATAGGGTTGCTAGATTCTGAAAATAAAAATGCAGAACTCACTTACACTAAAAAATGTCCATTATTTAACTGAAATTCAAAATGAACTAGCTGTCTCATGACCAGATCTGGTAACGGTTCGGAAAAACAGTTGTTTGATGCTCAGATGAGTTAGAAGGTCAATCTGTTCATCTTTGATCAAATTTCCTTTTATTTTAGTGAAATTTTTAAAAGGTTTTATGCGGGGATTTTTAATTGTATCTTTCTTCCTTAGATTCATCCCACTGGAAAAATGTTTATCCTTTCGGATGGAGAAGGAAAAAATGGAACCGTTGAATTAATGGAGCCAGTATGTCTAAGTATTAACTCTGTATATTAAATGTAATTCTTTCATCTTCAATTTGTTGTTTCTGATTTTTGAAGTGGATGTGTAAAGAACAAGCTAGCTCTACAGTGATTCTTTGAGGGCGGGGGATTTAGCTTAGCGTCACAGCGCTTGCTCACAAGCACAAGGTGGTTAGTTCGATTCCCGGTACCACAAAAAAAAAAAAAAAAAAATTACAATGATTCTTTGGACTCACGTTTTTTTGTTTTGTTTTGTTTTGTTTTTTTGGTGTTGCTTATGTATTTTTGGTTTTTTTAGGATCTTTCCATGCAGTTCAGGCTGGCCTTGAACTCACTGTGTAGGGTAGGCTGTCCTCAGACTCACCATAATTCTGCCTCAGCCTCTAAGTGCCAGGATTACAGATGTTTGCATTGCCATATTTTTTTTAATACATCACTGAAGTTCAGGCTGGCCTTGAGTTCACTATGTAGCTCCCGAGTGCTGCTATTACAGAGGTGTGCCACCTTATCCGGCTATTTCTGCGTTTTATGTTTAATGTGCTTAAAAACATTTTCTTGGTCTTTTATGAAAACAGATCCAGACTCTCTTTGGTTAATGTATACAGAACACATTCTGTAAAATATAAATTATAAAGGGTGCCCCTCAGTGAGTCTCAAAACAAATTACTGCTTGTAGGAATTCTGAACATTCTTGGCATCTTTAAGAAAATTTGTCTTCAATTTAAATATTTAACTATATCTTTAGACCTGAAGCTACTACTAAAGATAACAGGAGTTGTAATGTGCTGGTAGTTAAGTTCTCATTTTTTAACCTTCACAGTTCAGTTTTTACATTGGTAAATTTTAAAGTTGCTTTCTTACAATTAACAGTTAGCGGGGGCTGGGGATTTAGCTCAGCGGCAAAAGTGCCTGCCTGGCAAGCGCAAGGTCGTGAGTTCGTTTCCCGGTACCGGAGAAAAAAAACAAAAACAAACAAACAAAAAAAAAAACCAGCAAAGTGTGTAAGAGCTTGAAAGATGAACACACTGTATGTTTTCCAAATTAATTATCAACTGAAAATGTGATTTAACCAAACTGACATTTTGTTTAATGTCTTAGCTTGATGAAGAACTATCTGGAATCGTGGAAGTAGTTGGAAGAGTAACAGCTAAGGCAACCATCATGTGTGCCTCTTACATCCAGTTCAGAGAAGATAGCAGTCCTTTCGGTAAATAAAACATTTTTGTATTTACAGGCAGTTAGGAGGAAAATTTTTTTTTATTTTATATGGGTATGTGTTGGTCTTGAGTCTTAATCCTGCCCTCCAGTCCCACATGAAAATAGGAGGATGTTTTGGCCTACTTAGAAGTCCTTGTAGTGAAGGCTAATATTTGTGAGAAGTAAAAATGGGTGGGGGGATCACAGTGAATAAATAAGATGATCCATATCTCAGTCTTAGAAAGTGAATTGTGAAAATGGCTTAACCTTTAAAAGAGAGAGAAAAATAAATAAATGAGAGACGATTGATGTCACCGCTTTCCTCTGCAGATTAAATGTTTACCTAAATGTTTCTTTCAGATCTGGGACTTTACAATGAAGCAGTGAAAATTATCCATGAATTCCCTCAGTTTTTTCCTTTTGGAGTGCAACATGAATCTTGATGGATTTTTTTTATGATTTCAAGAAGCTACATCGATGGATATTAAAGGAATCCCCTCATATTTGAGGGAGAGAACTCTTTGATTTCTAATATTTAATTTGTTGTTTTTAAAATTCCACTTATCAAATGTTAGCTCTTTCAATCTGCATTTTTTGATGGAAGTGGTGTATTATTGGCAGTTATAAAAAAAATTGCTACTACATTGTATGGTCAGATAAGATGCAATAACAAAGCATCTTGTGTTTGTGTTTCTATTTTATTCATGAACTTTGGTATATACTATTGATTACTTGATCTTTATTTTTGTAAGCATGTATTCAGACACAAACTTGGAATTTCATAACGGTAAGGTCATGTCTTAGGCCTAGCAAATGAAACTCTAGGTCAACTCTGTTAAGGACTTACTAGCTCATAAATTCTACCATGTTAATTATTCTTCAATAAAAGTGATTTTTTTTGTTGGTCTTTTTATTTCTTATTAGTATGCCTGCAATACATATTAAATTCATTCATGGGGGGAATTGATACATATATATATATCATCTTGATCCTTTTCACTTCTCTTCCCCTCCATCCCACCCCGCATCCCTATCAAAGTTTTTGACAGTTGAAAAGAGCAAGCAGAACCCTATCGTATGTAATTTGTCAGGTATCTCTTTTTTCTGGAGTTTAAAACTGAGTATATATTAATGCCAAACAAGGGACACATGGTCACTGAAAGACTTGGTGGAATCAATTGATTTTTTTTTTCCCCTTTCAGTTGCCATTAATGATCCTTAGTATATAATGTCTGTCTACCAACAAGTGATGTTGGAGGTGGGCAGAAGGATGTAGCAGGTGTAGAATAGGAAAGTGCAGAATAACTGATAGCCCCTCACTAGTTGGATTTTATGTCTTAGCCAACTGCAGTGAAGAAGTTAATTCCAAATCCATGTAAATCCATGCTAATTATACCCAAAAATATTTACTTTATATTAATATCTTAAATTTTAACTTTTATCATCCCCAGATACTCTGAAATTACTTAGGGGATGTTAAGGCATTTTGTTATTTGAAATTAAAACAGTTGAAAATGAGACCTATCAAACACTCCCAGTAACAGTGTTGCCTTCTGTTATGGTTTGGGGGATATGTTGCACATATACAGGACACATTTTGTAAGATTATTTATAATAATCACCCAAACAATGCTATATAAAAGAGAGCAGGAGATCTGTCCACACACCAAGACGAAGGAAACTAGCCAAGGGCCTGGATCCCACAGAAATGTCCTGCGTGAGTGCAGCTGAGGACCTAGAGCCCATTACAGTGCCTCCCACAAGCCCAACTGGAAGCTCAGAGCACACAACAATGTCTCATGCAGGCCCGTTTCACGGATCCGCACTGGGAAGGCCCAATTGGTCACTGGTGGAATCTAGGAAGGTCACTGGTGGAATCTAGGAAGTCTGTGCCAGCGGGATGAAGGATCTGTGCTAGCAGGCTGAGGGAACTACACTGGAGTCAGGAAGCGATGCACAAAGTAAGAACCAGAGCTCCCCTGAAAAGTACCACAGCCATCCTCAACAACAGTGGAGTTCCGAGCTCCTCCAATGATCAAGACAGCCGAGTTCCCATCACGGGAGCCAATGCAGCAAGTTTCTGTAGGAGACTGGCAGTGCCCCATCTTCCCCTCTGGAGCCAGGAAGCAATAGTCAAAGTGAGGACCAGAGCTCCCCCAAAGTGAACCAAAGCCATTCTCAGTGCCAACAAGGTCCCAAGCTCTCCGGAGGATGACAACAGACAAGTTCGTCAGGAAAGCCAGCATGACAACAACTCCCAACAAAACCAACAGCTCTTTATAGCTTCTACCTGCTCCTCACCAGCTCCCAGCAGCCTTTCTCTGCTCCCAGCAGCCTCTCTTCTCCAGTTCTGCCTCTTATGCTGCTGGCAACCATTCCCAGGTGGGCCTCCCACACCCAGCACCCTGCTGACTCAGTTCGGCTGGGGGTTATAAGTTGACCCCCAGTTGTCAATCCACTACACCTTCTATGCTAGCGATCAGTCCCCAGTTCTTTTAGCCCCCGCAAAACTGTGCTACTAAATGTTGAGGGTGCTGTGTTAGAAACATCTTGAATTACTATGTTTACAAAGATGGAATAAATAAATCGAGGATCTTACTTTCTCTTTGCATCCTTACTACTAACGATCACAACCCCATTTCTGAGCCACGTGAATTTGCCACCAGCACTACAATCTGAATGCGTGAAGTTTGAACAAATATAGCCCCTGTGCCACGTGTTCTAGATTTTTCTTGTCATAATTTCATTGAGGTACAACTCACATACACAGTTTGCCTGCTTCAGACGTGGAATTAAATAGTTTTTGGTGTAGTTATTCAGCCATCACAATAATCAGTTCCAGAACATCTTCATCAACCTGAAGGACAACCCCATGTCATTTACTTTACATAGCCTAATCCTTCATCGCTGCTCTCTCCCCCTGCCTTGCGCAGAACCACCATGGTCCTCTATCCACAGTTTCGCTTTCTTTGGTTTCAGTTACCTGCAGGCAACTGCAGTTTTAAGTATTAAAAAGAAAATTCCGGAAGTAAGTAATGTATAGGTTTAAAATTACAACTTCTGGATAATGTGACAGAATCTCACATCATCCTGCTCTATCCTTCCCAGGACAGGAATCATCCCTCTGTCCAATGTACACAGATACCCACCCGCTGCCTACAACTAGCCACTTGGTGGCTGTCTCCGTTATATTCATTGTTGGAATATCCCGGGCTCATGGATCCACGGTTTCAAGCATTTATTGGGGGTCTTGGGCTATATTTTCCCTTAGATATGGGGCAACTACTATAGTTTCTCTAAATTTGTCTCCATTCTAGACATTTAAGTGGAACGATGTGAATTTTTTTGTGACTGATTTCTTTCTTTTAGTGTGTCAAGTTTCATCGATACAATAACCTCAACAATGCTTCATCCATTTTTATGACTAATACTCCATTTTATGTGTATACCATATTTTGTTTTTCCATTCATTGGTTAGTGGGCATTTGGATAATTTTTGCCACTTGTTTATAATAACGCGATTATGAACATTTTTTGTGTATACACTTTTGTATGTGCATATGTTTTCTGTTGAGAATGTGCCGAAAGAGAAATTTCTACATCATATGGTAAGTAGTTTTAACTTTCTGAGCAACTGGCAGGCTCTTTCAAAGTGACTGACAGCCATTTTATATTCCCACCAGCAGTATAATGTGGATTCTAATTTCTCCACAGCCTCACCAACATTTGTTTTTACTTGGTTTTTAAAATTTTTACCATCCGAATGCATGTGAATTGGTATTGCTCTGTGATTTTAATTCTCCTTATTTCCTTTAAAACTACCATAAGCTGCCTGTTGTCCAGAAACACTTGCATGCCTCCAGTCATTTTCATTATCTACCATTGTCACCAACAGTTCTGGTAATTATTATCTCTCACCTGAATTATTGTAACAACCATAGTTATACCTATAGCTGGCCCTCCTGTTTCCACCCTCTTCCCATCACTTAGCCAAAAGGGTTGCATTAAACATCAGTTGAAGCCAGGTATGGTGGTGCACGCCTGTAATCCCAGCACTTGGGAGGCTGAAGTAGGAGGATCGTTGCGAGTTCGAGGCCAGCCTGGTCTACAAAGTGAGCTCAAGGCTAGCCTGAACTGTATGAGACCCTGTTTCAAAAAGACAAAAAGAAGAAACATCAATTGGAATATCACACTGTAAAGGCTAAGGTGTACAGAAAAAGGAAAATTCTGGGAAGCTTACTATGGAGAAACCTAGCAAATACGTTAATGACATGAGCAAACAACAGCAGTGATGATATGTGGTTGTAGTACTCTGTATGTACAGCAAGAAATGCATCTAACCTTTTCCAAAACCTAAACTCCATTCTAATCATGAGAAAACACCAGACAGACCAAAACTGAGGACAAACTTTCAGCACCCTGTACAACTACTATGATCATGAAAAACAAATTCACAGAGCAGAGAAGACTAAAGAAATTGTGACAACTAAATTTGATGTGAGATCATGGATTGGTTTCTAAAGTGGAAAAAAAAAGACTTTAAAAATGTGGAAATGTGATGAAAACTGAATAAAGACAGGAGTTTAATAATAGTAATTTACCAAGGCTGGTTTCTCAGTCTCAACAAATGCACCATGGTAATGTAAGATGAGAGGCTATCGGAGAACTCTGGAGGAGAACTGTGTAAGTCTAAAATTACTCCCAAGTAAAAATGTATTTTTAAAATAATTAACAGTATTAGGCTGCATGAGATTCTTCATCTGCAAGGAAATCTTAGTGGGGAAGTCAGGAGGATTGGTTAAATAAAAAGAATTTGTATTTTTAAAATAATTAACAACCTCCAGAGGTTCTCTTCTGACGAGAGTGGATTCAAATTTCAACTAGTAGTGGAGATTTTTTATACTCTGACATTTCACCTCGAACCTAAACCTTGTTTTCCCCTTGAAGTGACCATCCAACACCTGATCTGCTATTTTCCAAACACAAACCCTTCAAGACATGTGTGCCCTGCAACACAGTTTGTGTGCGGGGAACATCTGTTTCGATGCCCAGAAGAAAACCTCCCTCGAATTTCCTGACTTAGCTAAGGTCATTTTTCCACTTCTTCTTGCATTCTTTCCCTCATACCTCTCATCACATTTAACCTGATGCTAACTTTTATATTGATATACATGTTTTTGGTTTTTCTCTTTTAAAAATGCTTTTAAAATCAGAAAATAAAGTCCCCTGTGTCTGGACACTGCTATGGCTTGATGTGTGGCTTTCCAGAACTTTCTCTGCATGGACAAACTCTCTATAGGACTTCCATATACTGCTCTGAAACATACATTTGTCCTTAATATGTCTTGGCAATTGACGTGTAGAGCTACCCTTCCAATGATTACAAAATAGTCTTCTGAGCCAAATGTTCCCTAATTTACTTAACCAATCCTCCTGTCTTCCCCACTAAGATTTCCTTGCAGATGAAGAATCTCATGCAGCCTAATACAGTGCCTCAACAATGGATCCAGTCAAGTTTAAGAAGCCAGAGAGACAGAAGAGGTAATGCAGGTCTGAACTGTACCATGACACAGCTGACAAAGAAAAGCGGCAAGGAATTCAGGGTATATTATATATGCATAAAATATACATGTCTACAATATGTAGTTTTCATAGAACTCAGTAATGATACCATTGAAGAGAATAAAAACTGAGAAAGGGCCTAATGGGTTAAGACACAATAAATTTGCATTGATGCAAATTAAAGTGTTGATCAGTCCTTTCGTGGAGATACTTAAAAGGCAGTTTTCAAGCGTGGACAAATTAGTGACTTAGTGAGATCATGTCTCAAAGTAAAAAATTAGAAAAGACTGGGGCTGTAGCTCAGTGCAAAGGCTGTGGGATCAATTCCCAGTACCTAAATTAAAT